AATTCAATCGACCATATTGACACGATATTAAAGGTCTTCCTTTACCGACAAGCATATTCTCGTAGATAGATATAAGTATTTTAAAGAAGTCAGAAGTCCGTAGTTTCTGCCTACCGCTGTACGTGAATGGCGTGAAGGTTTATGTATATTATGTATATATATCATACACCAAGTAAAATCTCATAATAAATAATATTATTCAATTTAAATATTATCCTTTTGGTTACTTTTATCAACTTACTCTCGTTATCTCTACTTCTTTAATTTTTCTCCCATGCATTTTTAAATTTAATATATTTCTGTAGGGTATCCTTGTGAGGTCATTATATTACACAGAGTTATGTAAAACTAAAACGATTCTACATACATTATATCTGACATACATATTTTTAATCTTGCACTCTAAACATTTACCTATCAAATATTGTATAAGCATTTGAAATATTAGATAGATTTTTGCCGTTTCCATAACAGCCTATTAAAGTCCACTGCTGAACAAATTCCTCCCCCATTGATTGCCTCTTAGGGGGGATACTTGCCATAGTTACCACGCTTGGAGAGCGGATTGACAACAGCAGGTTTTTATTTTTACTCGTTATTAAGAAGACGCTGGTCCGCATCTCCTGATTTTTCCTCTGCCGTCTCTTACGACACCTATGGGATGTTATGGCAAAGTACGGAATACATAGTAAATCGATTAATAATCCACTGAAAATTTAAAGCAAATTTTTGCAAATTAATGATCTTAGACTCTTCAAGCACTTTTGCAAATTCTTTCGATAAAGGGTGTCCACCTTCTGATTCAGTTTCTCTTAATCGCCTTTGACGATACACAGGGTATATGAAATGGAGAAGTTCTGTGGATGTCGCAAGGCAAAATGGGTTGATGAAGCACCAAAATTTCATCCGTTTTGGACGCGTATTTTATTTATTTATTTATTTAACTTCATATACACATTAGATGTATATAGGCGGACTTAATGCCTGAGGTATCATCTACCAGTCTACCTTAGAGTAGTGCAGAGATAAAAGAGGTAGGTGTAATAACAAGTATGTACGTATGTATGTATGTATGTATGAAGTGTGGAGTACAAGGAGACTATGTAGAAAAATAAATATATATTTTAAGGAAAATGTCTTGTATTTTTATTAGGTTGGAAATTTCTCAAACAGGTGGTCTGAGAAGTTTTCGTAATTTCGAAATATCAGAATAAAACTTTACAACGAAGTATTCGTAAGAACCACGGTTTTGTAATCCGAGTCCAAATTATACTGTGACGACACGAATGTTTTATGTTCGAGATAATTTTAGCACATTATAAGAAATTTTTCTCTTTTTGTTTCAATATAAAATAATCTTAACGAAACGATTTCATTTTCTTTCAAACGCTACATTATTCGTAATTTTTTATCATGTTAATTATGCCAATTACTTTTGGTCAAAGATTGTTTTCTTCATGAAATAGAAGTTTTGTCTATAGAAGTATATGACCACCCACATGCAATACACTACATTTACACTCGATTAAAAATAAAAATACAGATGCGCTATGACCTACGACGATTTGAATTCCTCGACACCTGTAAAAAAAGGTCTTCGTTTCACTCACTATTCGAAACACAGCAGCGTTATTCTGCTATTTTATACTACTGAACAACAGGCCTTGCCATAGAATGTCTAGAAGGGTGATAGTTGCCAAAACTGCCACTGTTGGTGGGCATGCTGGTAGTTTTATTTTTTAATTGTTATTAGAAAGACGCTGTTGCCCATCTTATTATAAGGCTTATTTCACTCTGTAAAATAAATTTTGTAAGCTTGTTCTTAGTTAGAACCTTCTTGTAAGCTTGTTCGTAGTAAGAAAGATGCATATTCATTTTTATTTCATGTAAAATAAAAATAAAAAATACGTGTGGCACTCGGTGACTGCCGCGGTAAAGCTATTGCATAGAATTTTTTTATCAACTTATGCAATTATAATTATTTATTTATTTTATTTATGCAGTTAAGTCTTTGATATTAAATCAAGTTACACTTTTTGAGCGTGGTGACCGATAAGAAAACAATTTTTTTTCTCTTATTGAATAAATGAGAAGTTAATATTGTTTAAAATATTTTTAATATCTTACAATACATGTAGGTTATTCAGGAATTTTTATCATTGAGTTAGCAGTTAGTGTACACGCATACGTCTAGTCGCACGCACACAAACACCGTGCCGAAGTCTGCCGAGTGCCGAAGTCTGCCGAGTGCCGAAGTCTGCCGAACTGAAACGACGTTAGACGATGCACGGCTTTCAACGCCACACCTCCGTGCCCGTCGGAGTAGAGAGCGTGAGGTTTTTTTTCGTTACGGAATTTCTGGATTCGGTCCCCGCCCGAAGGCCCGCGATAGAAGCTATGCAATAGCTTAACAAGTAACAAAACTGCCTTATTACAAGAAACCTGAAACATTCTTTATTCACAATTGTAGGTAAAGGTTCTTTTTATAGAAGTAGCAATTACATTTGCGTAAGGGAATTTTGTAGATTTACTTCAACAAACATTTTCTTTTTAAATAATCACCATTATAACAATGTTAAGTAATGACTATGGATGCAGGTGGCTCAGGACCGTGCTTTGTGGCATACCTTGGGGGAGGCCTATGTTCAGCAGTTGACTTGTGAAGGGCTGTAATGATGATGATGATGAAATAATGACTATAGCGAGGTACCTACGTTTATACTAAATGACCACACAACTACGTGCAAGTGGATGACGGAACATAAAAATATGTTATATGGTGCGAAGCGGTGCACCAATACCGTCATTTCATTTTAAAATCTTTATGCAAGTGCTTCTTTATTTACAATATTAGCTGTGGATCCATCTGGAGCGTACACAAAAAGGTTACTGGGGCTGTTTACGCGTGAGCTACGTATAGTTTGACCATGGGAAAAGCATCCAATTATTAGGTCCCCCCCCCCCCGCAACGGATGAAGTATGGCCCTGAGTTTTATTAATTGTGATGGCGTAACAGCAAGTGACTGGGAATTGCACTCGTTTGGAAATGAATGAAAAGTTACTAGGAATTATAGGTGGTCTTGGAATAAAAACGCGAAGATTTCAGGTTATGTTTTGCTGCAGACTTTGAGCTGAGTGCCGTTACAAAGTTTGGGAGGACATAAATTTCTGAGGAGAATTATTGGTACACCGATTTTTAAAACTATTTTGTAGGCTGGAAGTCCGGATATGTTGAGGGAATATAAAAATTCTACCGGGTAGTGCACTACCACCGGGTACGCCACGTATGGCGTCTTCTTCTTCTTTTATAGAAGAGGGGTCGAACGAGCATGCGGCTCACCTGATGTTAAGTATCTACCGCCGCCCATGATCAACCGCAACACCAGGGGAATTGCAGGTGCGTTGCCGGCCTTTTAGAAAGGAGTAAGCTCTTTTATTGAAGGTCCCCAGAACGTATCGGTCCGGAAAAATCGCCGATGGTAAACTATTCCACAGAGAGGTCGTACGCGGAAGATAACTCCTTGTGAAACGTACAGTAGTGGTAGTAGTACACGTACACCACCAAGCATCCAGATGGTGTGGATGGTATCGGGACGTTTGCCGCGTAGTGCGTTCACGAAATTTGGTGGCTGGGATTAATCCGAACAATTCCTCAGAGCACTCCCCATGGTATATGCGAAATAAAATGCAAAGAGATTCAACATCTCTTCACAGCGCCAGTGAATCGAGCCGATCGGAAAGCACTCGGTCGTCGATTATTCGTGCCGCTCTGCGCTGTATGCGGTCAAGTGGAAGGAGCTGGTACTGGGGAGCCCCAGCCCAGAGATGGGAACAGTATTCCATGTGCGGCCGAACCTGTGCCTTGTAAAGTTGCAGGCGGTGTGCCGGCATGAAATACTGTCCCGCTCTGCTGAGCACGCCAAGCTTTTTAGAGGCCAATTTGGCCTTCTCTTCCAAGTGACCACGAAATTTCACGTCACTCGATATGTCGACGCCGAGGATTCCGATACTGGCTGAGACAACAAGGGGAGTGCCTTGAAACTGAGGAGATACGACAAAGGGGTTCTTTTTAGCGGTTAACGCGCAAACTTGTGTCTTCAGGTGGTTAAACTGGACTAGATTTAGTCGCCCTCAATTCTAGACTCTGTTCAGCAAGGACTCGACTTCAGACACAAGTTTGTCCCGGTACTCGGAGACGTTTTCCCGAGAAATATTGGCACGGCCGGTGTAAAGAGCATCACCAGTGCTGTCATCCGCATAGCAATGAATGTTACGGGTTTGCAACATATCATTGATATCGTATCTTTGTGGGTCTGAGATTAAAAATGTTTTCTTGTTGCTTTACAGCAGTGCTACAATATTTTTTTTAAATTAGAAGTTTTTTATTTTTATTTTACTATACTAATTGTGAATGACCGTTATTACTTCGCTTGGCAGGAGAATTAAATCATTCCAATCAAAATCTTCCGCAATTTTGACGCTTTTTCCCAACAACAGTTTGGGTACACTACATCTAATGACAATACTAGACGATTATACCGCTACCTTTTTAAGTAGGAGGGGGCAAACAAGCCTAACTACCGCCCGTGAATGCAGCGCTATTTAGGACCTCCAGAAATCCTTTTTACTGGAAACGAAGCATTTCGTTGTAGCCCTAAGGGATGACAACGCATTCTGCAGTTTGATTCTTAATCGAAGATTTATCTAGAATATCTATGGACCACAGCATCTACTTACCACCAAGTATACTGTATGCTCGTTTGTCACCCTTACTCTTTACGAAAACAGTTCTTGGAATTGTGGATGATAATAATCATAATTGTACTGGCGGGGATCGAACTCAGATTCCTCGTACTATGAAATTCGAATCAAACGCGCAGCCCCTGTACTACGCCGGTCATATATTATATGTCTATGAAAAAAAAATTATTTAGAAAAAAAAAACAGTTAAGATGCTACAAAAACTTTAATCCCATTTTAAAATATTACAATTAACAGTTTCAGTACAATGTTTCTTGTGCAGTCATGTAATAATTCATTGGTTGAGGAATGTTCTTTGCTGCAATAAATTTTGTATTAATAATAAAAAATAGCAACGGCAACTTATATGAATATATGTACGTTATGTATGTTATTTTTTAATCTAGAACTAGACTAAAATTATGCGGTAAAATGCAATTTGAACATTAAAGGTATATAAATGTTACTAATTCTGTGTATTTTTTGGAACGAATTCATTCGAATTCGAACGAATTCATAATTTCTATGAGGGCTGATTTTTCAATCATCAATAAAAGTCATTGATGGGTTAATATAATATAATAACATGTTTAGGATCGTCCCAACTATTACATCAGATTTGATAAACCACTTAACCTCACAAAAACACCGATTTATACCAAGTATTGGCGAGACAATTGAAATAAAAAAGCATCTTAATTTTAATAGAGAAGATGGCTAGATTCTACCATCTGCTAGGGATTACATAATTAACAAAAATAAATCCAAACCTAGCCATACTTTAAGATACTTTAAGCTCGTTTTGCGTAGATCGAACCAATGATTAATATTTAAAAGTTGAAGGTAGCCTCTGATATATATATATATATATATATATATATATAACACCGCAAGTAGCAATGAGACAGTATTTTATGATGGTATTCTGTGAGGTGTGTTACTTCCCCGGTCGAGTAGACCCATTCGTACTACAACCATTATGTAGCTCCGTTTGAGGCTCCGTGGACTCACGGCCCTGAAAGTGAATAATTCTAACATTATGCGACGGAGTCTTCAAATTTGAAAGATTCATCAACTTCTTTACTATCTTCTTTAGATTTTATTTTCTCTATTAAAATTTTACAAAATAAGGCAATCTTAATTCTATTAAATTCTACCGATGAGAGCCATTAGAGAGTTCAGTCAGGGGTTAAGCTACTAGGCTAAGCACTCGACATAAACTTCACTTGACCAGTTTATGATTTTTAATTTGTTTTGATTGTGCAACAAAACATCATGAAATTTCAAGTGCTAATTTATCAGATGCTGTGAAGATCTAATGTGAAGAAAACATCGTGAGGAATATACATTACGTTTTAATACGTTTCGCGGACATGTGAAGACTGCCAACACGAATTGAAGCAGCTTGCCAGACTAATGGGTCCATAGCCATCTTAGAAATTAAAGGAGGCCTGTGCCTAAGCAGTAGACTACATAACTTTAATCTACCAAGGAATGGATACTGTAACACCTGCATATTAAATAATGACAGTAGGTAGTACTGGCGATGCACCGAAGTATTTGAGTTTATAAAACGGTTACTTACGGCATTGTTCAACTGGAATGCAAATTTTATTCTTATCCCGAAAAGTGTTTGGCTTGCAAATACACCTTGGTTGGCAGTTTAAAACAAGTGTATTGCATACAGTTGGTTCTTCATAAGCATTTTCGCAGTCTTCCCTCAAGCAGTCCGATGGACAATTACTCCAAATTTCATTGGGTCGTGTACAATCAACTGGTGCTAAATAAAAAGTGAATTTTGAAATTTCTTCAATGCATATTAAATAAGACACTTCTAACAATGAAACTAATTGGTACCCAAATTGAGCATGTGTGTTGCAAAGCTTTTGGAATCCGCGAAAATAATATTTACTAAAACGTGAAAAACTCGGTTGAGCTAAGTTTTCACTTTGTAACAACAAAAATAATCCAAAAACTAGACAAATAGGAAACGAACATTAAAACGTGCCTCTCGGTAACAAAGATGCAAACCCTACAGAAGCGACTATATAAGTTGCGAGCGGGGAAACGGAAAGGTCTCGCATTACAGTGAGGTGCAAACTTAGCTCAACCGAGTTGTACTTAAGAAATCATCAAGCTTAAAGTAAATATATCAAAAATATACAAAAGATTTTTGTAATTATATCGACAAACACTAAACGGAAAACTATAAACAACTTTTTCAATTTTATTTTTCAATTATCAATCGTTAAAAGTTATCCATCGATTAAATTATGATTTGAATAAATATAAAAGTTAAACTTGCATTATTTTGTTCATACTGTGTAAATGTAATTTTCAATTTTTTTTGCTGTATTTCATCCTATGAATAACATTTATCTAATGACTGAAAATCATTCATTTATTAATGAATTTTATTTAACTTACGACACTCAGATGCCAGGATACAATTTTCGTCCTTGATACTTTTTTTTCTGTAGTTCAAATTACAAACGCATCCGGAGGGACAAGGTGATGGCGGTTCACAACTAAAATCAGGTGGAGAATCATCCACTGGGCAGTAGTTGTAAGAACATCTGTTGTTACAAGTTCGAAATGTCGCATTCATACCACATGGATTGCCACCTAAAATATATGCCATAATATAGAACTTCATTATTTTGGAAGGGAGAATGTAAGCACTAAAAATATAGAAATGAAATTATAAAATAACTATCTAGTGTATGCGGCTTTGCTCACGTGAAATTATTCCAGGAAGGGCGTAAAAAAAGCACTTGTGCCTACATAACCTTAAACCTAGCCCTTTTCGAGAATAGGAACATGTTGTATCTAAATTAAAAAAGAGAGCTACACTAATTACATAAATAAGATGTTTCATTATAAAGTTCAAATTAAGATCTACCCTACCAATTTTTTGCATATAATCTATTTTTATGGGATAACCAAAATGTATAGTATATAACAAAACATACATACAATATAGCTGAGCATGCTTTCCGAGGTACAGAAGTGAATATCAGTGACATGAGGTCGCGGTTGCGGTTAAATAACATATTAATGAAAAAAGGCATGCCTCCAAGAGGAGAGGCAGACAAAAATTCCGACCATTTTTTTATAAAATAAGGATAAAAAACGAGTACACAGTCCACCTGATGGTAAGTGGATGCTGTAGCTTAAAGACATCTAAATTCATCCTCTTTTGAAAATCAAAATGCAGATGCTTTGTCATTCTTGAGGACTTAGGTGGAATGTCTCGTTTCCAGTAAAGAAGACGGTTCTTTACGCTCACCATACGTAATAAAGCAGCATTAAACTGCTATTTTACGCTGGTATTCTCTGAGATCGTGGTGCTACTCCAATCCAGCTGACCCATTCGTGATACAACCATAATTTAGCTGCAACTTGCTCTACTACGTATAAACATCTGTATATCTAGGCTAATCTTCACATTCCTTAGACATTGCGCAAATGATCTTTTATACAGTTACGTCCGGGTTCACACGGATCATAAACAGGAAAAAGAAAATTTGTGTATATGATATGTTAAAAAACCGTGATGGGTTAATCCTACATGGCGAGTTTTCTTCATTGATCCCACATGTAATAATAGGTGATGGAGCTGCAAAATTAGTAACGAATATTTTTTACAATTTGGACCTGAGCCATTTTGTGGAATCTCAAGAAGCCTAGCCCGATTGACCCTTGAAACTCTTTATCACAATAAATCACTTAAGATCTGGTCTGACACACCAGGCTTAAAACATTCTAAAACCTTAATCCGGGCTTTTGATCTTAAATTCGCTTCAGAAGCCCTGGCATTAAGTAAAAATAAATTGCGCATTCTGGCAAGAGCCCTAACTGGACACTGTTGTCTTAAGCGGGCTACATACGACACGATATCGGTGGCGATCTAGGGTGGAAAGAAATCGGGGCTTTTATCGGGGTAGACCTTACACACGGGCCTGCCTAGCAGTACGCGTTCGGACTTGGAGCGGAACGCATATGCGGTAGAGTTCTTCAAAATACCTCCGACTCTCTTAAAACACCACCGTGTTGGTTTGGCATTAGCCATCTCGGTTAATTTATTCGAAAATAGAAAAAGAGAAGTTGCTGGGTGAAAAAATGGCTCCAAAAGAGATAAAAATTAAGCCACATAAACGTACTAAATGGCCTGTAATCCATGGACGTGATTAATTTTCTCCGGATGGATGAAGACAGTTTTTATAACCTTCTAGAAATGATTTCGCCACTTATATAAAAACGTCAATTTCTCCTACCTATGCTATTTAGTTATTTCTTCTCTTTGTTCATTTCTGCTTTGGTCAAAACCTGGTTATATATTTATTTATTTATTTAGTTTATTGGAGACAAAACAGAAACAAAAGATATGAAAGAAAAATATACAAGTAAAATAAGACAATGGTAATTACAATTGTTTCCTATAAGCTGTCTCACTAAGAACATACATAATATTTATATTATGAAGCAGGTTGTAATTGGTATCGTCTAAACAACAAGCAGGGTAACAAGTCTGTACTTAAATAAAAAGAAGACAATCATCTGAAAACAATCATCTAACATGTACAATAATAAATACTAAATATCCTTATATATCTAATTCATAATTGCTACTAAAGTACTTTTTAATTTAGTTTTAAAAGCTGAACGGGAGATAGAGAACATATCGATGTCGTTAAGCATTTTATTGTGGAGGACACACATTCTGTGTACTGGTGCTCTTTTACCAATGTTGGTCCTGGTTTTTGGTATATGAAATAAATTTTTTGATCGTGTGTTTTTGGGTGGTATTCGAAACCTTATCTCGGATAATAACTGTGAACACTTAATCTCACCAACACAGATGTTCCTAAAAGTAGTGGCGTCGATTAAAGTGCGTCGGTCTTTTAATGACAGCATTTGATATTTTGTTAAGAGATTTTCATAGGAAACGCGAGGTGAATGCATTCGATAGTTAACAATACGTAAGAATTTCTTTTGGACCTTTTCTATTTCATCTTCATAAACTGAGTAGAATGGATTCCAAACGGGGGACACATATTCTAAATGAGATCTAACTAATGACTGATAAAGGCAGGTAAGAGTATCTTTGTGTTTAAATGATTTTGTTATACGTGTAACGAAGCCTAGCATTCGGTAAGATTTATTCAATATTTCCTCGATGTGCCTATCTAGTGTGAGTTTGGTATCTAAATATACTCCAAGATCACGTATACTAAATTCTGATACAATTTTGTGACCACCTAAGTAAAAGTCCGCGTGTACTACATTTTTGTTCCTAGTATATGTTATGTGTTTGCATTTATTATAAGCCAAGAATAATTTATTAATTTTACAATAGTTTTCAAGTCTATCCAAATCGTTTTGTATTAATTTTATGTCGTCAGGTTTAGTAACGGCAGAGTATAATTTTAAGTCATCAGCGTATAATAAGAATTTACAGTGGTCAAAGCAAGTTGAAATGTCATTAATAAATAGGATAAAGAGGAGTGACCCCAGTATTGATCCCTGTGGTACGCCAGATGTTACTACAACGGGTAAGGAAATGTAGCCATTAAGCACTACCGACTGTACGCGGTTTTGTAAATAAGAAGCAAACCATCGTAGAAGATTACCTTTGATACCATTGTAGGAGATTTTTTTAAAAGTAGCAAGTGATCAACTTTGTCGAATGCTTTTTCGAAATCGGTGTATACAGTTTCAATCTGAGATTTATAGTCTAAACTATTAAAAATAAAGTTAGTAAAAACAAGAAGATTTGTCAGTGTAGACCTGCCATTAACAAAGCCGTGTTGTCGTTTTTCAAAATTGAATATATATGATCGTGAATAAGTTTCTCAAAAATTTTAGGAATAGCCGAAAGAATTGATATTGGACGGTAATTTTCTACGTTGTTCTTAGAACCTGATTTGTGAATAGGTGTAATGTATGCTTGTTTCCATTGAGTTGGAAATGTTCCAGTTTCCAAACATTTGTTAAAAATTATATTGAGCGGCATGCAAATTGTATTAGAAGTGTGTTTTAAAAACACTGGCTTTATTTTGTCAGGTCCAGCGCCTTTGTTTACACACAACAAACAAGGAAATAAAATACTTTTGTATAATAATATGTATACTTTTTTTTTAATGTAATCTTTATTTATGGAGTAAAACTATCAGAAAATAAAATAGCTTATATCTTTTTTTAAACATAAAGAAACCTTTAATTTCGGACATACTCCCTTTTATATAACTTGTTTGTTGATGTGGAGATGGTGAAGGAGTAGAAGTTAGTTGTTGATAAGAGGATGAAGGCACGTAAGAGATCGAAGGAGTTGTAAGAGATATGAGTGCGGTCTTGTGTTGATAGCGTTGGAATAGGAGTTAGTTGTTGAGGAGAGGCTTTATCTTCTCCTTACTTACATCATACACTCTACTTTACGAACGGCAATAAAAAAAATTAGTTTAGTAGGTATTCTTGACCATGTCACTTTGCAGGGTCACAAGCTAGGGTGAATATGATTTGAATTTCGATAAAATTTCAATTAATTTATTTATTTTATTCACTTTTTTTTGGTTTTTTGTAAAATATCAGTGCCATAGGCTTCTACTCCGTTTATATGATTAAAATGTAAAAAATTTTGTTATATAAAAAAAGGTCATTCAGTATCACTGTTTTGTTAACTTCCTTCCGCGAGGGTTGCCGGCAGCGACTGCCAAAAGTAATCGGGCCGATGCGCCTACACACACGCAGTAAGGAGGGGGGCGGTGCCCCGATCTAGGAAGCATCGGCTGATCTAGGAAGCATTTTTGCTCCTGCTAGCCGATTAAGGAGGCGATATCGGCCACGACTTAGGATGGCCCTACATACGACACGATTTAGAGGCAATCTAGGAGGCATCCCCACTACTCCACCCTAGATCGCCACCGATATCGTGTCGTATGTAGCCCGCTTTAAAAAGCACATGTCCATCCTGGGACTAAGCAACTCAAGGATGTGTCGGTTCTGATCCATAACGGAAGAAACGCCTCTACACACCCTAACTGATTGCGGACCCTTAATGCGCAAATGTAACACTCATCTGGGAAACTATCTACTCCGCCCAGAAGTGAAATTGCTCACGGCTAAGCAACTCCTTCTATTCCTTGAAGACATAGGGCTTAGCCGTGAACTATAGCCATAGCAGCGATCACAATAGATCTTTTAGGTCGCAGTGATACTGGTCTCTTTACCTAGACCTGCATAACTGCTCGCGTATAATTAAAAAAAAACTAATTTTTTTTAATTTGTTGTTCTCAATATATCAAAGGATTATCATGTAATATTTTTTAAAATCTTATCGTGCATCTTAAATAATAATCTTCTTACTTATTGTGCAAAAATTTAATTTAATAAATAAAATTAATCATATTAAAACAAAACTGATATAGCAGTATCGTCATTCCTCATCACTGATATACGACCACTGCGGAATATAAGTAATATTCGGAACTGTGTTCAGTCACCTTCAGCTAATTTAGTTTAGGTTAAAGTTAGAGTACTGTATTAATAAGAAAGTGTATTAAAAACCAAATTAATTTTTGACGTGTCCCGGAATTCAAACCCTGGACTATATGATCGGCAGTCGTGCTAACAACCACGAGACAAATGAGAGTAATAATAAATAAAACATACATATTTATTGCAAAATTTTATTAATAAAAGTACCCACCGGAAGTTTCATGAAAATATGAGAACACGCCGGCCACAAGCATCAAAGCAAAGTATAAAATCAACATACTGCCTAAATACGTCTGTAACATAAAAAAATGTGATTTATATAAAAAGAATTAGTATAGTCGAAAAATGACACCTTATAAAATAATGAATACTCAGTACATACTTAAAGTACCAGTTATTTTACTTTGGCTTGGAAGGTTATTAAAAATATAATAAAACTTAAATCTGTCAATAAAAACATTACAAACAGTCAAATGCCCCTATAATACTAAACTTTTGTAAAGTTTTAGCCTCTAATTTCTACAGAAATTTCAAAGTCTTTGTACACTAATAACATCTCATTAAAAAAGAAGACGTTTAAACAAATTTACGGATGAGACGAAAACAATAAAAACGGGTCGTTGAAAAATGTACACAGTGCTTTCTATATTATTCTTTGTTAATCAGAGCAAAGCATAATCTCCTCGCTTGGGTTTTTTTTTAATAGAATAAGGTGACAAACAAGCACACAGTCCACCTGATGATAAGTGGCTTCTATGGCCCATAGACATCAACATCTATAATCGATTAAGAATCAAAATGCAAATTCATTTTCACCATTGAGGACTTATATGGAATGCTTCACTTCCAGTAAAAAGGTGCTACTGTTCTCTACACTACTCATACGACTCAACACAGCAGCATTATTCTACTGTCTTCCGCTGGTATTTTGTGAGAGCGTTGAAATTGCAGAACAAGTGACCCTTGGGTATTACAGTGTTTAATTAACGTCCCGGGTACTTGTTCCAACGACATGGTATCCTTTAAATATTCATTAAATTGAGAACGCAGAATACCAAAATTTCGCACTCTGAAAGTAGTGTATACAGTTTTTTTTTAAATTAATAATAATGATTAGATTATTGAAGGTGAGTCTCAGGAGCATCTCGAAACATTGGGAATATAAAAAATAAAATAAAAATAAGTAAATTAAACCGTTCACTGGCGGTGAAGTATATTCATTCCCAGATTTCTATTACATTTCATTAGATTCCAAGATTATATATAACGAATTTTTATATCTCAGATACCTATTGGCGCAATATATTAAAATTAGGCCAATGATAAAATAAGCAATAAGATCATATTATGTTTTAAAATTTTAAGTACGTTTTTTTAATTGATTAAAACTACTTTTACGGATTTTATCGCGTTTTATTTATTTTATTTTGAACACCCGACGTTTCGGGTGCTTTCCAGCACCCATGGTCACAGGGGACTGAGGTGACTGACTTCCCGATGTCAAAGTTAACCCGGAGTACCTTCAGCTTTTTAATTATTGTCTTTGGTGCGATATACGCAGAATGAACTAACTGTGTTTTGAAGTCTTGCAGTGGTATGCTTGGGTTTAGTTTTAATTTTATTAATTATAGGATCCCAAGCAGGTGGTAGTACTGAGCCTCCTTCTCTACTGAAATTAGGATGTTTTTTGGTTTTTGGTTACAACCGTAGCATTTCCTTTATCTGCGCGGAGAATCGTAAGCTCTGATCTGTTGCGTAAGGTTTTTAACGCGTTAAATTCATTTTTGGGAAGATTTAATTTCGGCGCTGTACTTCGACGTAACATAGAGGAGATGTCTTGACGTATGGCCTCTAAATCTTCATTACCAATATTATTTTTATACAGACAATCCTCAACACTACAGATAATGTCTTCATACGGGATTCTTCGCGGTGTAATTGCATAATTAAAACCTCTTCCTAAAACTTTTATTGTGGCGTCGTCCAGAGTTTGTTTTGACAGGTTATAGACTTGTTTACTATTCGTGTCTGTGGTCGTTTCGTTCTTACGTTGTCATTGATGTTGGACATTTGATTTAGTTGTTAATTTTTGGTATTTATCAATATCTTTGATTTTGCATTCATTGTATTTAGTTGTTTCGCGTTTATCTAAAGTTTCCATGCAATTCTTATAATCAAATGTCGATAAAACTGTCTTTAATTCACTTGACGAATTGTCTGTGGTTTTGTTTATGAAACATAGATCGGTAAGTTTTTGCTGAATCACCGTCATTAACAACTTTTTACTCGCCTGATTTAAGATCTTAGCGCTTCCTCGAATGTCTTTTTAGTAGATATCTTGACACACGTAGGAATGAGATTATGATCTCTGCATCTCTTCAAGAAATTTAAAGCTGTTATGTATCTTGCGAGCTTTTTCTTTAGATCTTCTAATCGGCGTATTTCATTTGCTATTTCCAGTCCGTACTGGTTTACGTAATGATTTTTTATATTTACGCGAACACTATATATTGATTAAAACTACTTTTACGGATTTTATCGCGTTTTATTTATTTTATTTTTAATACCCGACATTTCGGGTGCTTTCCAGCACCCATGATCACGGGGGACTGAGTTGACTGACGTCCCGATGTCAAAGTTAACCCGGAGTACCTTCAGCTTTTTAATTTTCATTCTGCGTAGATCGGACCAAAGACAATAATTTTTTTTGACATCTTCGCTAATGCATGATTGAACAAGTTAAAACTTGTACCACATTTGTGCACGCGTAGGGCATTGTTTTTATTCGGATTCTGATTGAAAAATTTGATTCTGAAAATGGTTCAAAGATCGTAATTTTCCTCAAAAAGCATTATTGTTTCTTGACAACGATCTTAAATCGATGCTTCTGAAATTGATTGGTTCATAATTTTTGATTATTTTGGTATGTACATTTGTTTGTACACAATTATTTCCTAATGTAAAGTTATTGCATATTTTTTGTTTAATTAATGAACTTAATTTTATAATAAAACGTAAGCTCTCTATTGTGTTGTTGAATTTACTAAATTTGACATACATACTGAAGTATGATTTGTACTTCAAAATACAAATCATACTTCATTATGTTATATGTAGTGTATATATATATAACATATAGAATCTTATAATTCGATCTGTAGTTTGTCGGATTACAAGGTACTCTTTTGTAAAAAATTCTGAACTGTAGGGGTCTTAGGCAGTACTCTATAATCCGACAAATTCGATAGTTCGACACCACCCTGCAAAATGTTTGTCGGATTACCGGGAGTCCACTGTACTTCGAATCTACCTATCTCCTTAGCTACCACAGCTCTTTTTAAACATATATAAATTATGATTTAATAAAGCGTACGTAGTATAAATTGAAAAATTATGATAAAATAGCAGCAGTTTATTTTCAATTTCACGTCATTGTATTTCCATAATGATTATTAGTTTAAAAATAAATTTCATTGTTTTAGTAACTTATTAATTTAAGCGTTAGTTTGACTGTCACGTTTCATGAGCAACAACAAAGCAGTAGAAATATACGAGCGTGTCCGCGCGTGATAAAAAATCGTAAAAGAAAAAAAGTGGATTAACCATCGAGATAATGTGAAATTTTAAGTTCTGTCACCGTATTTTTATTATTATTCCTCTGAGCATTCCAAACAATTGCTTCTAGCTGATCAGAAATAACTCGATAATGGACGATATGTGCCGCTGATTGTTGGATGCGATCAAATGAAAAGAGTTGGTACATGGGGGTACCTTAGCCCAAGATTAGAACAGTATTCCATAGGCCGCTAAGTCGTTACAACGAAATTATTATCGTCATCATCATAATTAAAATCTGTTTCACAAGTCCACAGCTAAACATAAGCCCAAGAAATGCCACAAAACACGGTTCTTAGCCGTCTACGGCCATCAAGTTACGGCATCTTTTACCAGGTCATCACTCCATCTAGTAGGGAACTGCCCTGCACTGCACTTAGGGGTACTGACTCTGCCATACAAGAACCTTTCTTTCCCATCGATTTTCGGTTCCTTGAACAATATGGCCGGCCATTGTTACTTCAGCGTACTGATCTGTGTGTCGGTTACTTTGGCTCTATTGCGGATAACCTCATTTCTAAATCTATTACGCAGAGAATCTCTGAGCATAGCCCTCTATATAGCTTGCCGATCGACCTATAGCTTGAAAATAAATCGTTATCATACCCATTATTATAGACTTTCACAAGTTCACAGATTAACATAGGTCCCAAAGGAATGCCACAAACATCCATTGACGTCTCTTATCCTTATCCTCTTATCCTCCATGTCTTACTAAATGGAGTGATGAAAACGAAAAAATAATTCATTAAAGTAATACTTTAGTGAAATCATGACTTCGGAAAAGCTACGGTAATTAAATTTGATGTTAATAATGTGTCCATTTGTCACGAAATCATGTGATAAAAGAATAAAAACGATAGTAAACAAACATTTAGTACTAAAGAAAAATTTATAATAAAATATTATTTATTTATTATTTAAACAGGCCATTAACGAAACGTTCAAAGTTACAAAATGTCACAGTAACATAAAGGTCTTCGGATTAAAATAGTTTAAACAGGTGTCTCAGAGAGAAACCCTCTTTTAATTAATGTCTTGCTACACGAAATTTAAAGCAAACGAATGTGGTTTTACATACATAAATAGTAACGTTATTATTATGGATTATTTTGGAACAAACGCGTAGAATCTAGTGATATTCTTTTTTATTAGTCCGTAAATAAACTGCTCCCCGTATTTGTCTAACGGAACGAACAGTGTCAGAAATCTCACACCTTTGACGCCGCTTCCTATCACTGGCTGAGTATTTTACATCTGGGATAAAGTAGATGATTACACCGCCATGTATCCAAAGCCATGAGATTTATGAGAGATTTGACACAGGGCTATAGATTCTCTTACGCTGTTACTACACGGCACATTTGCGGTGTAATATTTTATTTATATTTTACGCTGGTGTAATACGGCGTAAAATATAAATAAAATTTCATATCTATCTTAGTAAAAACATCGTGGTTATATGTACTAACAGCTAAATCTAAACATTCTGGTCGTTTAGATAATTGTAAGAAAGGGGTAGTTTTTAGATGCCAAAATAGGAGTATTATAAATAAAAAAGGTAAAAGAGGTTCTCCGAGTCTAGCCAGCCAGTCCAGTCAGCGTGAGTGAGATAGATCTAGAGTGAATATCGTGCGAGACGAGAAACATAATACACATGACAAGGATAAATGACTGAAAATGAGTGGTCACATAGTGAATGGTGCTCTTCCCTCTATTGTGAAAATTAAATTTAGAATGTCTTAAAAAAGAACACAGCAAAACTACAATACTCTGTTAGATTCGCACCTGCTAACAATTGTCTTTGACACCCAGAGTTACGTGCCAGAGAATGCCATATGGCATGAAATCCGCCCCATGTACCCTTTAACGTGTTACGTTTAAGTTTTTAAGTTTTTTTAGTTACTCTGTTAGTTCCTATCCTAATGTTTGGTAGTAAAATTTGAGTGTGGCAGAAAGAGCATGAGAGTAAAATTAATGCCGAAGAAATGAGGTAATTGGGAAGTATATTAAGGATAACTCCGAATTAAAAATAGTGTGATAGAGAATAGAAGAGAGAAAGGAATGCTTCGGTGGTTTGGAAAGCATGAATGAGGAAATAGTGACTAATATTTGCTGCAGAAGTGATCAGCAGAGCCAGCAAAGCAAGACCCTAAACGTAATTTAATCGACCGAATTGGAGAGATATTGGAGTTCTTCCTTAACCAACAAGCACATTCCCGTGGATATAATAATAATAATAAAAAATAATAATAATAAATCATTTATTCATTACCACCAATAAAGTTACAGTACACACAGAAATAACCAAAATTACATAGTGTAGTAATGAATGGGCTCTAGCTCAGCATAAATGTTGCAGTTGCCTACAACGCTGTTATTCTGTCAGCGCCCAACAATTGAAGATTACAGTACGCTATAAGGATACGTATAATTTAATGAGGATGGATATAAGGATAGTAGGCTATAAGTACGATATAAGGATGTTTAAGTCAGAAGTCCGTAGGTTCTGCCTGCCGCGTGCGTGCATGACCGGCGCGTCGTGGGTTTTTATGTATATCGTGTGTATATATATCATACACTAATAAAATCTTATGAAAAATTATCGTATTCAATTTTAATATTAGTTACTTTAGCAACTTAACTCCGTTATCTCTACTACTATAATTTCGCACGCGTGCATTTTAAAATTTAATATATATTCGTAGCATATCCTCGTGTGGCCATTATATTACGTAGAGTTAAGTAAAAATAAAACGTTTCTGCATACATTATATCTGACTACAAAATTTAAGCAATATATAACTTAATACATAATATGGTTTTTAATCTTGCACTCTACAAAATTATCTATCATATATTTTGTTAAACACGTATTATGATATGGAATATACATTCTTTTTGGTTCCTAAATGTTGGTATGCAAAGTATTTTTCCCGTTACCGTGATATGCTATTAAAGTCCACTCCTGAACAAAGGCCTCCACCATAGAGATTTTTTTTATAAGCCAGTGCTTGATCACAATTCCACCTGGTGGTAAGTCCCACCAGCCTCAGATGGTAAATCGCACTGTCTTAGCGTAACATAAGCCTATTAACTTTTGCCTTGAAGACGCCCAGAGTGTATTCGTACGGAAAAATTGATGCCGGCAAATTATTTCACTCCTTTGTTATACGCATTAAAGAGGTCTAAGTAAACTGTTTGGTTCTAATGCATGGAATATCAACAACTAAGGGGTGAAGACCCGCCGACCGCCTGGTTATCCGATGGTTGAAAGGAGAGGGAGGAATTCAAGCGTGCAATTCCTGCGCACACTCTCCGAAATGCATCCTATAGAATACCGAGAGGCTGGCTACTCTGCGCCTGTGCTCGAGGCTTACAAGGTTGGTTTTAATCAAATCAAGGTCACCAATGAGCTTCTTAGCTCGTCTCCCCACTGAGTCCAATGCTGCCAGGTGGGATTTTGTGACACCAGCCCATATATGACAGCAGTACTCCGTGCACGATCTGGCGTTGTTAATACAAGGTAAATTTAGTTTAATCTACTATAATTTAAAGTTACTTTTTGCAAATTAATGATATTAGACTCTTCTAGCACTTTTAGATTTTTTCGACATTGGAAGAGACCTTAATCTAACTCTGAGCTATTACAAGGAGATAAATAAAGAGGTGTCCATCTTCTGTTTCAGTTGCTCTCTGTCGCCTTTGACAACACACACGAGATGAAATGGAGAAGTGGATTCTCTTACGCTGCCACTAAATGGTGATAAACAAAATACGAACAGCAGCTCTCTCGATAAAAATTCAGTTTAAGGGTCATTTTAAAAGACATTGTAATTTTTAACGTCCACCATAGTTATTTTTATAACGAGGCATAACTACTTAGGAGTACTCTAATAAACAGATTGTACATACTTATTTAAATAAAATAAAAACAGTAAATCCTCCATAAATCTTAATAAATTAATAATTTCAAATGAAACCAACCAAGGCGTAGATTTTGTTTCATAGAGGCAACCTGTGTCACCTTTTCAACCTTCGTGGCGGTAATTTAACAAAATATTTTACAATACAATATCAGTGTTACAATTCAAAAGCATTTCCTGCGCACATTTTATTTCTTAACCGAACATGGTTTAAGCCCAATGAGCTCAATGTAAGTACTTTTATTGTTTTATAACTCAGCTTAGAATAAATCTGAATTAGTACAATTGCTATAAAATAAAAGATACGTAAGAAAGTAAGAAGTGGTAATGCGAAAGAGATATTTTAGGTTAGACATGAGCAATTCGTTCATAATGTTGTCATATCGGTTACTTTTTTGTGTGACTTCACAGATATGAACGGTTAAGGTTTGTTCACATTGTAACACAAATGAAAATATTTTAATTAATTTATATTTTCTGTTTCATATTTGTATTACATAATTTATTTGTTACATTTGAAATGTATTTTAAATATACAACACAACTACAACTATGTAATACCAATTTGATTAAATCGATGAGGTTAAATTAATTATTAATTTTAATAAAATATATCTTCTTCAAAAATATATCACTTATGGCTTCTGAAAGACCAGTTAAAAGTAAGCATCTATAAAATCTATTGTCAAGTGCAGTTTGGGTAATTACCTAACAGAGATGATTACTTGAGAGGTAAAAATGTTTTGTATACAGTTTAAAAAGTGATATTTGGACTGATGCGGATTGCATTTATGAACAACGATATTAGTAGTTAAAAGTCAGTTAGTTTGCTTTTAAAATCCAAAATACACTTGATAGGTGATTTGACAGAGTTGCTTGAATCAGCCTTTCACAAAAGGGGGTTTGGAATGTACATTATTTTGCACTTTGATTTACATATAACAAATCTCATGTGCCATGTGTGTATTTGTGCTGCAACAGCATGTACGAAACTGATTAAATTTTTAAACTGATTACCATAATTATTTTACACCGACACTTTTATCCATCTAGACCAAAGAGAAATAACTTTTACAGATCCTATTCAACTTTGCTTGAGACAAGAGATTAAAAAAAAACCTAAAAAATGTTTTGTTTCTTTCTTTTTACTAGCTAAATATTTAATTTAAAATTTTAAAATTTTTTTATTATTCTGAGTGAATAAAGGTACACAATTTATATCTTTTTACTTATGTTGAAAAATATAATGTAATCAATAATAAGGATTTATTTAAAAAAAACTTTATATTTTAGGGTTTGATAACATTTTATCTCAAGCCATTTTTAATAGAATAGAGAAAAATAGTATTTTTATTTTTGTTATTACTTCTAATTTTCTTTAAAAAGTATTGGACTATAAACTGGCCCTAATAACTCCTCTCTGTTAATTTTCTGTTACAACGAAATCATTTTCCTATCTATTTCATATCCGTTACTTACAATTATTATTAATATGACCTTTAATAAAAAAAATACTGTAGCCAACCCACCTGCCAAGCGTGGCCTAAGAGAAAATTTATGGTAGAGCATTATGGAGCCACTAATAATGACTATGACAGAAAATAACACGAGTTGTACAATTACGATATTCAAAGAAGTATTTAAAGACATTTAACAATTTATTCAAACGATAGAGCATAAGAATCAAAAAAGCAAATACCTCAAAACCCTCGCAATATATGATAAAAACAAAAATAATATGTCTTTGTAATGATATATGTTCGACTTACCTTAGATGTCAATTTTGTACCAAATTGTAGAAGAACACTTTTATACCTTTAAATTTTTTATCACGATTGATGTTTCAATTGATGTATAGAACTGACAGGTTTTAATCGTACTGGATACGAAACTAGTTTTGAAATGAGTTTTATTTTTATAGATTACATTGCGTTCACGACGGTAGTAAAGTGTATTATATATTATTAGCTGCGCCCGCGGTATTGCTTGCATGGAATTTTTTTGTTCGATTATTTTAAAGTCGAGTAAGTTAATTTACTCGGTTGAGGGTTTAGGCCTAATTATAATTTTATTAACGACTCAATTGAGGAGACTGAGGATAATGATCCGAGATGAGCAGCAGCGTCTTTCTGACAACAATTCAAAATATTAAAAAAAAATACGAACGCCAATCCGCCTGCTAAACATGGCAATCATGGAAAAATCCCGCTTATTAGAGACGTGGTTACATTACGTGGTACAGCCACGCTGCAGCTATCCTACGGTTGTAGCACAAGTGAGGTAGGACTACGCTCTCACAGAATACCAGCGTAAAATAGCAGCGTAATGCTGCTGTGTTTCGTATAGTGATTGTAGAGAACTGGAAACCCTTAGTTCTCAAGGGCAACAACGCATCTACATTTTGATTCTCAATCGAGGATAAATGTAAATGTTTATGGCACACAGCATCATTTACCATCAGATTCGCTGTTTTTTTTTTTATAAAATTGGTAGCAAACGAGTACATTTTCCACCTGATGGTAAACGGATGCTGTGGCGCATAGATATCCAAATTTATCCTTTATTAAGAATCATAATTCAAATTCGTTGTCAACCCTGATGATTAAGATGGAATACCTTGATTCCAGTAAACAGGGTCTCCGGTTCTCTACACTCACAATATGAAACACAGCAGCATTATGCTGCTATTTTACGGTGGTATTCTGTGAGAGCGTAGTCCTACCTCACTTGTGCTACAACCGTAGGATAGCTGCAGCGAGGCTGTACCACGTAAGTGCATCATCAATTGCATCTACCATGTAAGTGACCTGTGTGCTCTTTTGTTACACTTACTCTATGAAAAGGCCTATATTTAGTTGTGGACTTTTGATAGACTATAACATTAACGGTAATATATAAGTAGGCGTTCTTCTTCATCAGTTACTAAAGATCTATAGCTTGGCATAGACCCCTCTCGATAATGTAATTTTCGTCATAATCGCTTTGCTCGGCGGGCAGGTTCCCGATCCTAGGAATCAGACGTCTCACACCCTTAACACTGTTTGCCGCCGACTGTGTGGGCATTTTACGTCTGTCATAAACGAGATGGTTTTGCATCCTCAGCGATCCATCCATCCATCCATCTGTCAGCGGCCATGATATACGCCTGTTACTTCGTACCGTTGGTGTTACGGGACGAAAGGGGTGATGGGGGGGAGGAATTCACGTATATGTAGATGTCTATTTGTAGTATCAAAATAACTTTTATCGAGCTCTGGGGTTTATTTGCATGTTATTAGGATATTATGAATAACCATTTGTAATAAAAAAAAATCTGAATATGTGTAGGTCTGTCCGGGCTAATCTTTCGTAAAGCTGATCCGCTTCTGTTGAAATTTTATGAACAGATAGAGAGCAATGTAAGCTATATTTTGTTCGAAAATATTGGCGATTTTTTTTTTGTAAATTGAACATATTGATAAATTAAATGGTCATTGAGGATTATTTTAAGAAATCTACTAATGTCACATTAATAGAACTCCACCCAGGCAAATCCGGGGCAGTGGACAAGGCTAGTCGCTGATTTGATGATAAAAGTTCATAAGCTTGAACTTTCACTAAATATTAAAGTTGGGAGAAATGCTAAATGTAACTTTAATGAAAAGAATTATCTTCTTACGAATAAATTTCCAACAGCAAATATGAATAAAATGTATGTGTCTGTCGAAATAACTGCAAGAGAATTCTTTATCTAATTAGCATGCTAATTGACATGAATAACCATTTCTTTTCTGTGTCTGTGTCTCTGTCGGGTCTCTGTAACGACTTAAAACTTGCAAAACGCTCGTCTCGGGCGAAGAACCGGTTTGACGGTTTGCGCGGGGGGCATTCGTTTTTGCGGCCTGCGCCGCGCCGGTTAGTCTAGAATATTCGATTGTACGCGACGGCCGTATCGATTAGAGGTCGGGAGTTACGTAAGAATCGTTACGTTGCATTATGACGGCCTCCTTTGTGTTGTCTTATTTTGTACGTATACGTGACAACGAGGCTTTCCTTGAGCTTTGAGTGATTAATGTAACTTCGATTGCCATTAATTTGCGTCGACGAGTGGCTTGTGTGGTATGTTAATATCGTATGAAGGAATTTTTGCTTTGTCGGGTGGAACGCTAGACTTTGTGACCCGAGAGGAGATCGCGTCCCTATTCGATTATAGTTTGTGCTAAGTGACGTTGGACTTGAGTTCCGATAACGGTGAACGCCTATTGGAGTGATTGCACCTTGTGGAGTGTGAGCATGTGGGTCTGCTAGCCGATTACATCGGTAACGTGAGGTTACATTACACACCTTCCTACACCACTTACACATACCATTTACTTGCCTCTGACGGTACCTTATGGTCGACCTTACCTCCGGAATTCGGTAAGTTTGTGTTTGCTTATCCAGCCATTATAAATTAATCTATATCCATAGGCCATTTGGGCCCGAACCCTCGGTTGCTTGTCGAGTTGGGTCACGATGGGCCCTAGCCCAGTCGACTTTTGTCGGGGCAACTGAGGGCCGTAACATTTTCTGGTAGCAGAGCGTAGTTGATTGTTTCTCCAATCACGCCCGGCCGTAATATAATATTTTTTTGTTTGTTAGCGGATCGGTGGTTAGAACCACGCCGGTTAGGCTACGCAAACAGGAGTGTAGCTTAGGTTTAGGTACCTACGCGTCAGGTATTTCGGGTAAGTAGATTAAATTGCCGAAGGGTCGGTCTCCTGTGCGGGGCATCCTTGCTGACCGACTATACTGTGTACTTGCCGTGTAGTGTAATTGTCATCATTCTCTAAACCATTTCCCATTATCTGGGGTCGGCGCAGTAAATCTTCTTGTTCCATTCCTCTCTATCAGCCGTCATTTCCATACTTACTCCTTTCATTCTCATATCACTCTTCACACAATCGATCCATCTTTTATTCGGCCTTCCTCTACCCGTGTGTCCCTCCACATTCATATTCAACACTCGTTTTGTGACATGACGTTCATCCCTCCGCATCACATGCCCAAACCATGCCAATCTGCTTCCTCTCACCTTTTCTACCACTGGCGCTACTTTCAGGCTTCCTCTTGTATACTCATTCCTTATCTTATCCATCCTTGTCACACCACACATCCATCGTAACATTCTCATTTCATTCGCATGCAATCTATTTTCATCCTTCTTCTTGACGGCCCAGCATTCACTTCCATACATGACGACAGGTCGGATGGTCGATTTGTAAATTTTCCCCTTCAGCCTTATTGGCATTCGGGAATCGCACGTTGTGGCTGTGACCTGTCGCCATTTCATCCACCCTGCGTTAATCCTATGCTGCACAGCTCTATCTATTTCGCCGTCGCCTTGAATGAGGGAACCGAGGTACTTGAAATCTGAGCAGGTAGGCAGTATAGCGCCATCCAACGACATGGGTACAGGACTGGAAAGACCGCCGAAATCACAGCACAGATATTCGGTTTTGGATCTGCTGATCTTCAAGCCAACACTTTCCAGCCTCTGTTGCCACCCCGTCAGTCTGCTCTGTACCTCGATGCCTTCTTCCCCGACAAGCACGATGTCATCGGCAAAGAGCATGCACCAGGGTGCGTCATCCTGCAGGTCCGACGTCAAAGCGTCCATAATCAGTAGGAAGAGGTAAGAGCTCAATGCCGACCCTTGGTGCAGCCCTACAGCCACACCGATACTGCCCGTAGTTCCCGCGGCAGATCGTACACATGTACGATGCTCTGTACATAGCACGGACTAACCTCACATACTTCCCAGGCATACCTTTCATCTTTAACGCCCACCACAAAACCTCACGGGGAACCCGATCGTACGCCTTTTCAAGGTCGACAAAAAACATGTGCAGATTTTTATGCACGCGCTTGTACTTTTCGCACAATTGGCGTAATGCGAAAATGGCATCTGTCGTACCTCGACCGGGCATGAATCCGAACTGGTTTTGTGTTATCTCACACTCTTCTCTCATTCTTCTCTCTATTATTCTTTCCCAGACTTTCATCGTGTGTGACATGAGTTTTATTCCCCGGTAACTGCTGCAGTTTTGAACGTCTAATTTGTTTTTAAAAATGGGGACCAGTATACTACTGCACCATTCCTCAGGTATTTGTTCTTCCTGCAACAATTTACCGAAAAATAAACTCAACCACTTCCATCCATCTGCACTCAGCAACTTTCACACTTCTACTGGTATTCCATCTGGGCCGACCGCCTTCCCATTCTTCATATTCCTAACAGCCATTTTTACTTCTTCCACACTAATTTCTCTGACTAAGCCCATATTCACTGGTGGATTTTCAGGCATACCATTCCATTCATTCTCCGCATTCATCAATTTCTCAAAATACTCCTTCCATCGCTTCTTTATGCCTTCATCGTCAGTCAAAATCCTTCCAGATCATCTTTTATACATTTTACATGTGAAACATCTCTCCTTTGTCTCGCTCTTGCAATTTGAAAAAGTCGTTTTTGACCTTCGGGGCTTTCAAGGGACCGATACAATTTATCTTGCGCCTCTGCCCTACAAATAGCAACTTCCTTCTTCGCTCTCTTCTTACATTCTTTATACGCCCCTCTCTTACTTTCTTTTATGGATTCATTCTGGTCTTCTACGCTCTGCCATTCTTTAAAGGCATTTTTCTTTTCTCTCAAAACTTCTCTAATACTTTCACTCCACCACCACCCATCCTTATCTATCATACGCTTCCCTTTTGTTTCTCCTGACACCTTCCTTGCCACACTTCGGATACAATCAGCCCT